AAGTCTTTGGCTGGGAGGGAAACCAGCCCCTGCTCCCCCAGCCCCACGGAGGGTGACACGTCCACCACCACTTGTGGTCCTGAACTGGGGCACAGCCTCACACTGAAGAGCTGGGGGGCTCCCACCCTGGTGCCAGGCAGCACGTGGGGACACCAGCCCCTTTGCTCAGCCCCCAAGCACTCCCAGGACCATCCTGCACCCCCCCCCGGGGCACACACACACACACACTGAAAGCACAGACCAAAGAGCAGCACGGCCTTCCATGGTGTATCCCCGTGTCACCCTGTCCCCCTCTCTGCTGTCCTTGGGTCCCTCAGTCTCCCTGTCTCTTGTCCCCACCCCTCACACCTCTATGTTCCCCTGCCCCACATCCCTGCTTCCCCTATAGCCCATATTCCCTGTCTATTAAACCACATCCCCATCCCCAAATCTCCCATCCCTGTACCCTTGTATTCCCATGAGTCTGGCTGAATCCTGTGTGCCCAGAGATGATTTCCCAGCCTCTCCGAGTCCATTTTCCAGCACTTCTCTACCCTGTGAGACGTTTCATTACCTTCTGTCTACCTTTCTGCAACAACTTGTGCCTGTTATTTCTCATCCTTCGCTGGGCTCCTGAGCCTGCCTCTTCTGTAACCATTAAGTGGTGGAAAATAAGGTGGTGGATCAGCCCTCGACCTTCTCTTCTTCAGGCTGGATGATGCAGTTCTCTCCTTACCTCTCCTCCTGCATCCTGTGCCTCAACCCTCTGCACTTTCTTGGTGGCTTTGCTGGACATGCTTCAGTTTGCACATAGAAAATTCAACTGGACACAGACCTGAGCAACCTGCTGTATCTTTGAGCAGGAACATCTCCAGTGGTCCTTCCCAAGCTCAGCTCCTCCCCCATTCTAACCCTGAAGATGTGGGCTTTGAACTTCCTTAAATACACACTGAAAAAAGCCACCAGGCTGCCAAACACCTTGTGGGCAACTACACCTTGTCCCCCCCACCAACCTCGTCATCTCCAACCTAGAGCCAAGCACCTCTTCAGAAGCTTTGGTTCCAAACCCTTACAGATGCTCTCGGTGTGGTGCAACCTCATTCCATGCCAAAAAAATCCTGCAGGACCCACTCGAAACTACAGGGACAACTCTCAAAATGGTCATTGGGTCCCTCAAGCTTGTGTGTGCAACGTGGACATAGAGGCAACATGACCTGTGCACAGAAACCATAGAATCCCGACCTGGTTTGGGTTGAAGAGACCTTAAAGCTTCTCCAGTTCCAACCCCTGCCACGGGCAGGGACACCTTCCACTAGAGCAGGTTGCTCCAAGCCCCTGTGTCCAACCTGACCTTGAACACTGCCA